GACGGCCTCCTTCTGCGCCTGCACCGCCACCTGGCTCTTCCCCGCAATCTCCTTCGCAAGCGCCACGGCCTCCTTTACGACTGGCAGCACGCCATCGTCCCCTTGGGTGCATCAACGACGCGACTAGCCATACCCCACGCAACCGCCTCCTGCGCGCTCCACATACGGCCCGTAAGCACCAGCTCCATCGCGCGCGACTTACCAACTGCGTGCGCGAGGCGCTGTGAGCCGCCGCCGCCTGTGATAGTGCCGATGTTTATTTCCGGCTGGCCGAATTGGGCGGTGGGTGATGCGAGGAGTATGTCGGCCATTAGTGCGAGTTCGCAGCCGCCGCCGAGCTGTTTGGGAGTTCAGTTAGGTGAGGGAGGGAGAGAGGAGGGAGGGGTGCGTACGGCGTAGCCGCTGACGGCGGCGATTATGGGCTTGCGGATGTTGGCGACGTCCTGCCAGCTCGCGATGAACCGGTTGGTGTACACTTCAGCGACTACAGCGCCATCATCAGCGCCATAGACCGAAACGCTAACTAGGAGTTTCACGCACAGGACTTGTCCTTCATCTCCTTGATATCCGCGCCGGCTGTTTCGTTCGTTCGTTGGCGTTGCAGTACGAGAACAATGTCGCAAGTGCACACGCACCAGCAAAGGCCTTCTCGGAACCTGTGATGACTATAGCGCCGATCTCCTTGTCGGAGTCGATGAGGCGGAGCGCCTCGTTGAGCTCGTCGACTAACGCGCTGTTGAGTGCGTTGAGCGCTTTGGGCCGGTTGAGCGTCACGAGCGCGACGGCCGGATCTGGGCGCGCCGTGAGGATGTTTTCGTATTGCTTGTTGAAGACGGACATGAAGCGGAGAGTGGACGTCAAGGCGAATTTGTGTGGTGCGCCTACGCAGGCTGTGCGGAAAGCAAGTCGGCGAAAAACGGGGAAGGACATGGTGCGTAAGCTGAGTGAGGGAGTTGCAAGTGGGAAATGGGACAAGTCACGTCATCACCCGCACATGTAGCGACGACTAATATAAAAACAACCGAGTGTCGCGGTAAGCGTCCAATGTAGTAGACAGGTTATACTATCCAGTAGTAGCAAGACGGAAGAGAAAATAACTACTGTTCTGTTCTGTTCTGTTCGAGTTCAACACAGTCCACGATACGATACTGAAAACCAAACCAAAAACTAAAACACCCGAGATAGATTTGCGTTGGTATTATGGAGTGTAGAGAGAAAGTAGCTGAGAAAGTGAGGCAGCTGTCCTATAGCAACTTGCGCCAGCCGGCGTCCTTGGCTTTTTTGACGAGCCTCTTCACCTCCTGCGAACGAGCACGCGTCGTCACCAAGAGCGTATCGGGCATATCGACGATCACGAGATCGTCCACACCCAGGCACGCAACGAGGCGGCCAGATCCGGGCACGACAATTCCTCCCGCAACCTGCTCTGTAAGAACTGCAGTGGTGGTGAGCAAAGGTTATGGGATCGAGGTAAGATGGTTGCACGCACCAAGACCGACGTCCCCAAGGATGCGAGGTTGGTTCGCTTCTGCAGGCAGAAGTTCCGCGATCGACGAAAAGTCTCCGACGTCATCCCAACCTGTCAAAGTAGATTAGATCTGACAGGAGATACGCATGTCGTACGTACCGAACGTCGCTGGCACGACAGCGACACGCCCTTCCAGCGCTGCCGGCTCCGCAACAGCGTGGTCGATAGCAATTTTTTCAAGGCCGGGCCAGACCTCCTCGAGCATCTTGTTGCGCTTGACCTCATCGACATCCCAGACCTCGGCGATCCTCGTCAGACCCTCCGCAAGGTCGGGTTGGTATTCCCTGAGCAAGTCCATGAGGAACGTGACTTTGGTGACGAACATGCCCGCGTTCCAGCGGTAAGAGCCGGTTGCGATGTACGCGGCGGCCGTGCGCGCGTCTGGCTTCTCCTTGAAACTGGAGACGAGGCGTGCGTTTGGCGCCTCCGGGATGCCCATCTTGTCGCCAAGCCGCACGTAACCGAAACCCGTGGACGGGTGGGAGGGGGCGATGCCGATCGTGACGAGGTAGCCCTTTTGGGCAACCAGGACAGCCTCAGAGACGGCGCTGAGGAAGGCATCAGTGCCAGAGATCATGTGGTCGGCGGCGAACGATCCAATAACGGCATCGGGGTCACGTTGTGCGAGGATCGCAGCGGCGAGTCCAATTGCGGCCATCGAGTCTTTGGGTCCTGGCTCGCAGAAGAGGTTGTCTGGCATGAGATCAGGGAGCTGTTCGCTGATGCTCTTGACGTGACCGGGGCCGGCGACGACCGTAAGACGATCTGCGCCGGTGAGAGGGAGCAATCGGTCCCAGGTGGCTTGGATGAGGCTTCGGCCCTGGAGGGTGACGTCGAGCAGGAACTTGGGATGGTTCTCGCGTGACAGGGGCCACAGCCGCGTGCCAGCGCCTCCGGCAGGAATGACAACATAAAAGCCAGGGATCTCACGCGTAGGGGCGTAAGAGTAAGAAATTACGTTGTTGTCACCGAGAGGCGATGCTATGTGTACAGAGGGAGGAACGGCAAGCGCGGGGATCGAGCTGGAGTGGAGGAATGGAGACTTTGCACGAAGTTGCGGAGAGCTCGGCGCTGGGGTGTTGAAGCCAGGTGTGCCGAGGTGGGGGCTGCGCATTTGCTAGCAGCTCATCCAATTAGCGTATTTGTATGAGAGTTGGAGAGGGAGTGCGTACCGCCGCGACGCCTTCCCTGACTATACGTTCGAGGCTCAGATTGGCTTGACGCAGCTCAGTGCATTCCTGACGCAGCTCTGCAATCTCTGCACGCTATAGAAACAAGAAAGGAGGAGTTAATGGGACCAGGATTGCGTTCGACGAGGCGGGGCACTTGCAGATTTGAGGACGACGTCCATGATTTGGCTAAACATGACCTCTACACTGGGGGCATTAGCGCTGGACGTGGCCTCCGGTGGGTGGTGGGGTACGAAGAGACGAGAGAAGGACATGGTGGCTCAGAAAAAAGATGGACAAGAAGAAAAGGACGAGGATAGTTATTATAAGTTAGCGTGAACGTGTGCTCTTGCCATCCGCACGTGCACTTCTCTCCATCCCACCCGTCATTTCGGTAACCGCGGCGCATGCTTTGTGCGCCTAGACATCGGTAGGAACGCTACAACTATGGTCGAGCTCCGAGCGTAATCTATCCCAAACGACGGACAATACTCTTACCCGCCTATGTTCGTGTCCGCATCTCCACCAATGTCCGCACGCGGGCGCCTCAGACGACTTCTGATCACCGCAGGTTGATTGTCTCCACTCTCACCCCATTGATTAATTCTCGGATGAGCCAGTTGTACTGTACACCACCGTCTCTGTCGCTCTGCACGCTTTTCTTTTCGTTCCACCTGATGTGGCGCCGTAACGCCCATAGTTTTGATCTTCAGCGAACTTTTATGTTTCGAAAAAGTGGCGTGAGGTGCATCTCAGATCCCGGATTTACAGCGGGCAATGGTGCGCAAACAGACGTTCATATACGATGCAAAGATCGGCGAAAACGTGCTCTATATCTGAGGTCATCATTCCTTCGAGGCGCTGTCTTACGACACGCCGATAGGCCATTTTTTTGAAAAACAAGGCAGAAGCGGAGTGTTGATGCCGCGGCGCCAACGAATAGATCTATCGCCGCTGGGCATTTTCCATATCGTCTTGGGTGTCATTAGTAGTTCATGTCTCGGGAGCGTGCGTGGGGCTGCGTACTAAACCGTGCTTGCGAACATCAGGGACGAGAGTGGATGATTGACCCACTCCTGATTAGGCCTGACTGATGGTGGATCCTAGGATAACTGACAGTTGGAGCATTCACGTGCCTGACATTCGCACGCGTTCACTGGACTAATTTACAGTAGAAGGTCGCGATGGTAGCACATGTGAAGCTAACTCGCACTCGCACCATCGTTACCTCCACAGTCAGGGCTGCTTCTCACTGACATTGTGATGCGGGTGGTGACCGGTGAGCCCCCATATCCGAATCCGAACGAGCCTACAGTCCCCGCTGATCCCTCTCCGACCCCCCCCGATTCTCGATTCCCCCTCGCATCCCGAAAGCCATCAATCTCGGTGCCCTTGACTACTCATACCAAGATCCGGCCTTCGCAACCACTCCGGCTTGATACCTACACGCCCACATCCATACGCATTATGCCCTCGGCCTATGGAAGAAGCAGACTCGGACTAACTTGTTGTGAATCCAGCATTATTGTATTGTATCCAGCTCGATCTCATTCACAGCAGCTAGCCTAGAGGGCTGCCCGCGTGCATTGCTTACCACAGCCACATGGCCGAGCGCCTTCGCGTCCGTGACTGAGACAAGGAACTGAGACAAGCAGTGTCTCGCCCGCGATGAAGGCGTAACAAGGGATCTACAAAATGCAGATCTGCTTACGGCATATTCAGGTTTCGATAGAGAATGCGCAAAAGCCAAATGGTCCGTCCTTGAGTTCCTCGACGAAGATACGGAAGTGCCTCCAATGAGATGTCCCGAGATTAAACCAGTGCCAAGATCCATGTGGCGTCGTCGACGTCGTCAATAACAAGGTGAATTGCGGCTTTGCCCTGTCGTGAATTCAACTTGCTCATTGCATCCTTGGCTTGATCCTAACTAATAGTGGGACAGCAGGTCTGGAGAGTTCACATCCACGGGAAAGTCCCACAATCTGGATTTTATTCCAACCCTCAGTTTTTGATTTTGATTAAAGGTAAGGCAACGGAAGAGAGCAAGTGAACCTGTCTTACCGTCTACAACCGTATCTGAAGGGTAAACAACGTACACAACGCGTTGTTTAGATCTTGACTTGGCTCAAGCCTTATAGTAGGAGGAGACCAGTGAGCAAGATTTAGGCTGGCATGTATGCCATGGCTCGAGTTCTTCGATAGTTCTTCGATGCTAATGAAACATCGGGCGATTCGGGCCTTTTCGCAAGCCCATCCGCGATTTTGGTCGCCATGATGGAGCGCGGGATGGAGAAGTCGAAAAAAGGCGCTACCAGGGTTCGAACCTGGGTTAGCGGAAAGTCATCTCCTATTTTGGTAAGATCAGAATCCGCTGTGATAGCCACTACACTATAGCGCCGATAGGTGTCAATCGCTCATGGCTGCGCCAAGAGGAATGAAACGTAAGAGGCGGGATGGGACGAAAGCAGCGAATCACGAATTTCGGTGTTGCGTTCAGAGTGAACTGTGTTGCCGGTGCCCGAGAATGGCCATTCACCCGTGATAGTACCCTAACAACGGGCCGCGATCATCGATAATGCTTCAGCGCAGCCCGCGGACAACTATCCACAACAAATGATCGGACGAATAAGACTAGCTAACACCAACTGCTCCAACCAACACTCCAATGACAACCAACTTGAACCCGTCCCACATCCTCATCGCGCGCAACTCCCGTGGTCCGTCGAACACTACCGCGGCTCTCAGCTCACCAACAGAGACACACGCCGCCGCCTCGGGCATATTTCGCTCCTCGGCGGGGTCCCCACCGTGGTTCCTCGAAGGTGCAGACACTGAAGATGCGATTTCAGAGTTGAGCATCACCGACTCGCAGGAGCCTATCGACGTCGACGAGGCGTTCACTAAGCAGTCTAAGTTCCCTGGGACGGTCAAAATCGTCGTCGAGAGCACGACGTTCTGGTACGCCCACTCCGTCTTTTCCTTTCAGGGTCACTGATGCCACCATCGGGGTGTCGTTGCTTAGGGCACACAAGGAGGTCCTCTGGTTTGCCTCGCCGTTCTTCCAGGCTGCACTTAGCGGGAACTGGGCAGAAACCGGACGCCCGCTCTCCATGTCCTCCGTCATCACCATTTCTCAACCACCCATCGTTCCCGGGGACAAGATACACCCTGATGCTCCGACGGCCATGGCGTTTGCGCCCATGGACCCCGACTTGGATCCAGATGAGCTGGACATTGACGTTTCAGAGTCGAGCGAGCCGGAATCGCCACCTACGTCTGCTGATACCCATGGCACCGAATCGGGTACCCGCTCGGAAGGCGGCACTCGCACCACAATCCCGAAGAGGAAGACACATGAAGCTGCACGACAAGAGAGCTTGGAGAAGCTGTCACGGAACGCGGCTCCACAGGCGGGAGATGCTCCAAGGGTTGCGGATAAAGAAAAACGCAATAAGATTGTCAAACTCTCTTGGAAGCGGGCAAACTCATCTAAGAACCACCCAGCGACAAGCAATCCAGATGCAGTTATTGTGCTCAGAGAAGAAAAGGTGCGATTGGTTCTCTTCCATTTTCCTCCGTCGGACTCGGACATGCTCTCATCCGCGCGCAGGCGAGCACTTTTCACGACTTTCTCCGCTTCGTCTATCCCAGGTACGCTACCTCCCCACACAAATGAGGGCGTGCCACCCTGACTTGAGACGTACTTAACTTAGCATGGAATGCACGATCACGTGGAACAACGTGGAGGGACTCATGAACATCGGCAACAAGCTCTGCGTGCCCTCCCTACAGCGGATCTGCCTCAACTTCCTCCTCACGCACGCCGCCGGCCGCCCAATCAAGGCGATGCGCATCGCGGAGCTCTTCGAGGAAGAAGAGCTCTACCGCGAAGCGTCGCGCTTCGTGCTCGACAATCCTGGTGGGTGGCCAGAACAAGAACTTAGCACGCTCAGCAGCGAGACGTTACTCAAGCTCGAAAAGCGGTAAGAGAGAACTCCCAGACAATCTCACAGCGCGGACCCTCACTACTCCCCTCTCCTCCCCAGACGGACATGGTTCCTCGAACGCGTGCTCAAACTCGGCCTCGTGCAGATCGCCAAGGAATACGAATGCGTATGTTCTCCATGCATACGCTAATGCGCAAGACAACACACGGTTGACTTTTTATCACACTGTCAGTGTCCGTCATGCCCAGATCCGCAGACCTGCGCGCGGCTCCTCGACGAAAAGTGGCGCCAGGCGTACCAGGCTGTCTTCCGCTTCGGGCCGTGCCAGCCATCTATGGTATTCCGGTACCTCCGCACGCTCGAGGGCGTCAGTCCCCCACTCGCGCTCTCGCACCTCGTATGCCAGACGACCGCCAAGGCGTTCGTCGCTACCCGTGCGTCGTCCCCTCTCACCATTCAAAAAGCTCTGATCGATTTTTTGAACGGGGTTGAAGTGTTCGATCGGATGTTCTCGCTCGGCGTACGTGGCAGTGGAACGGATACGGCGCCCCTTGGCGCGCGCGTCGCGGCGGTCGCGGGTATGGCTAGCGCCACGCTACCCCGCCGTCATTTCTTGTATTGCTCGCTCAGGCCGGAGAATCCCGCTCCGCCGCGTGGGCAGCGGCATCATCACCGTCACCATCGCGACACAATGGCGTGAAGTGTCTCGTGGAGTGAGTGAGTGAGTGAGTTTTGCATGTGAATTCGCTGACGAATGCGTGACGTCTATTAGTTCGTGGGCCATGAGGGCCTCCCATAGCACGGCGAGTCTGTAGTTGTTGCTCGAGCAGAAGCCAAGTTCTTTCGTTGCGTCTCACCTATCATAGTAGTCGCCACTTTTATTCATTTCTTCACCGTAACATATAATACGATCTATATTTCTCCTAGTAGTCGCACCGCGTGTAACTTACTGTATAGGGCTTCGTACGCTCAAGAAGGTGCTCGCGTACATCACGTGTCGCATTTACCCAACGCGCCATGGCGTCTGCTTGATCATGACGGTCACCTTGCTTGGCAAGGTCGGTCAAAACCTTGCACGGCCAAACATGGCACATTGAACGTAAACTTACCTGATACCGAGTGCTGATAATCAATTACTTGCTGTCACGTCCAAGCAAGGTTTGTGTCGGCAACGACGACGCGTAGTTAGGTCGATGCCCAGTGAGAATTCCATAAGGACAGTGTGACTACGTCACTGCTTGTGTGAAGAATCATGCCCCTTTTTTAACTACAGAAGTCGAAGCAAAAGAATTCAACACCTTGCCCCGACAAGCAAGTGACGCTCGATAGAATCGAGTACCTCTACGTCTCTTGTGACACGACACCCTCATTGTGCGGCCGTCGCGGAGCGTCCGTTTTCGAGCTTTGCTCTCTAGTAGTAGAAGGATCTGTTACAATACTCTGGCTACGCGACATCTTTCACTCTTTAAGTTTCTGTAAGTCGAACACTGTGCCATGCACATGCACGATCGCGCTTGTCTCATACTCTCTCTGTGAGCCGTTAATTGTTCGTGTTTGAGCTACTGGCACCGTTATTATCGATTATTTTCACCAGTTTCATAAAGTCGGGCGTCCCAATACCGGTGACCTATAGAGCCCAAAGTCAACCAAAGTCAAAAACGAACACGCAAGTCTGAGGGGGACGCACGGGATCCCATCCGACGATAGCCGAAAATCCATCAGTGCCACAGCCTGGGTTCGAGCCCGACGTGATGTCATTGAAACCTGCGAGGCCTTCGCCGTACAGCCAGGGATTGAGGAAGCCCAGCGGTGGTTTGCCTTTTGAAATGAGATGGTCATTCAGTAGAGATATAATGCCTCCCACGGTCTGTGCGCTGGCGGTCAGCGAAGTGCTCAAAGGAGGACGCAAATGACGCAACGGGCGCTGAGCCACTTGTGCCATCCACGGCTAAAAGCGCTCCTTTGTAGAAAACGGGGAACCCGATAGCTTGTGCGGAAATGTCCGGATATCCGCGACCTCTAGCACTGCACAAACAGAGTTATGAAAAGGTCAGGTCAGGTCAGGACCATGGACGAACTTGTAATATTTGCTATACTTATTTCCAAAGTTCCGGAAGAAGTTAGGCACCACGTTATCCTGATAGAGAGGGCGAGGAAAGAAGGACGAGAAGCCGCCCCCGGAGATGCTCGCGGCAACCTCGGGGTCGTTTTCCGACCTGCCACCTTGCGTGCCACCAACACTTGTCACATAGGGACCTACAAAATCATGGCAATCTAGTAAGTGACTTGTCCTGATGCTAGTGTCTGCTTGCAAGCAGAAAAAGAGAATGCAACACGTACAACTTGCGGGAAAGACGGGGAGAAATAAATCAATGGGATTACCAGAACTGTCACGGAATGTGCAGGAACCTTGGCCGACGCCCCAGTCACCGGTCGAGAAGATGACGCTGACGCCTCGCGCACCAAGCTGAGCAAAAAGGTAGCAAATTCTCTCCAAGTACTCTGGCGGAACAATGTATTCGTAGTCGGCATATGACGTGCTGATCGTCTGAGGTATGGACTTCTGATTAAGCACATAAGCGAGCCAATGGATGTATGGATCACTTTCTGTGTTCGCATCGCCGGCTGTGCTGTAGTAGTTAAGTGGCGTCGGGTACGCTATACCTGCCGCGGACTGAATGTCGAAGTTCGCCTCCTCGCCAGGGTTGCTCGGATCATACCCGCCGCCATTGACAAGCTCGACTGTATACGTTGCGTCTTCCCCGTCTGTCCGATATTCCTCCATGAATAACTCAAAGTCCTGCGGACTCGGGAACTGTGCACCGTAGCCCACAATTCCAAGCTCGTTCCGGTCCGCGGCCGCGGGAACGTAGCTTTCCGTTTTGTACAGCGAGCGCAGGACAGACGGCGTGACAGAGACTTCCGGGTCACGGCTCGACAAGCGTTTCATTCCCTTCGTGATTGAACAGCCGAAGTAAGTCGTCGGCACGACAGCTTTTATGTGCTCATGCAGGGCATCCGGAAGAGAATAGCTGATCGTGCGGATAACAGTATCGTTCGTCTCAACATGCTGGTAGAGCTCGTACGATGCGCCGAGCATTTCGTTGGCTTGGGACACAGGTACATTGACCACCGTGAGCCAGTTGCCACCAAGTGTCGTTGAGATGGAGGAAGAGGGCACGCCGTAGTGCTTGAGCCACGAATTGACGAGATCAAGCGTATCCGGATGGGGAGCAACAAGCTCAGCGACCTGCTCTTTCGATAGGTATGCGCCATATCTGCCATGTGACAATGGTACAGTACAGATGGGCACACCCACATGCGGATGGGCAGCGGAGGGACGTACCTTGAATGCGTAGGGTTGCTGACTTCGTAAAGGACATCAGTTAGTGCGTGTTCGTGGTGGGATTTGAGGGCGAGGTAGAGGTCGATTGTGGTCTCTGTATGCGGGTGGCCCATGCTCACCCAGTTCTGTGGGATGGCATTCCATGCATGCATCACCACCATTCCACCCCAACGTGGTACGCGGAGTGTAGCGAGGCTACCGAGGAGCGCGGTGGCAAAGGTAGAGAGCACAGAGAGTTGGCGGCAGCGCATCATGAATCCGGGAGGCACCAGGTTCAGACGCTGGGGGGATGAGGGGTTTCTAGTAATCCTGGATTCCTGGCTGGAGGGACAAGACATTTATAGTGCATCGCGCTGGACTCAACAGTGGAGCTCAGGCCACGAATGGCAGTAATGTAGATACTGCTCACGGGCCAGATCCAGTCAAGCCATTTGACCCACAATTAGACCATGACCCACATAGACACGCCACACGTCCGTTTAGGCCGGTGTCCGGTGACCATTCGCTCTGTGTCGGTGGTGTTAGATCTTAATCATCGGCAATTGCCTTTATTCAGCACTAAAGTGAGGAGTTGGCGGGGCCTTCTTACAATATGTCCGTGTAGAAAGCCGACCCAGCTGCCCAGTAGCTCAAGCAAGGTTTCGGTCGACAAGGTCGACAGCTGGTCCCAAAGGGCAACTCACGATCGTTAGGTTTCACCTGGTTGCGAGAATTCCATAAGGACAGTGACCATGTCGGTGCTTGTGGAAGAACCATGTCTCCTTCCAAATTCAGAAGTCGAAAGCGAAAGCAAAGGCAAAAGCAAAAGCAAAAGCAAAAGCAAAAGCAAAAGCAAAAGCAAAAGCAAAAGCAAAAGCAAAAGCAAAAGGACTTCAACGTTCAACGCCTTGGTCGAGCCGGGGTTGGATTGCAGGACTTTTGGTCAGCATAAAAGAACCACGTCTGTTTGCAATTTCAAACGTTGAGAGCAAAACGGTTCTGCACCTCGGTTGAGCTGGGGTTGGTTTGTGGAAATCCTTGCACGAATTTCAGGCAGTAGAAAAACTGCAAACAGCCTGCTGCCTGAGCACCGTGTTTGTTGTTCCAGACATCGGTTTCGCTTCACTTGCAACGACACATGTCATAACTTGAGTCGCGTTAGCATCGTTTTGCCTTTTGTCTCAAGTGCATCGTTCATAACAACTTGAAGTTAATGCAAAAGAGAGGGGCGATTTTGGCACAGTGCTCCTGTTTCCACGCTCGAACACTTCATTGGTCTCCAACATACACGCAACATGGACGAAAAGAATGAGCCAAGCAAGGTTTCAGCTGGCGCCAAAGGCGACACCTCGTCATCCAGATCCACCAAAATGGCAGCGTTCAAGCTCAAGCTCAAGCTTCGTCTTCTTCATGGCTTCCAATCTCATGTCTTCTTTGCGTAGTCCTGAATAGCTTCTCGTCGAAGACCTGTAGAGGACTTATCTTCCTCTGCTTCTCGAGAGGGCTACGAAGTACGCGTTGGAACTTGGAACAAGCGTTGGAAAGCTTGTTTAGACTGAGGTTCTCCGAGTCGGAGGAGGTTTCGCTAGATCCAATATAACGCAATTCATCTTTTGACCTTGGGAGTTCCTGAGCCTTTCTCCTACGCTTCCTGTCGCTGTTGTCTTTCCAGTGCAAATATCTGTTTTCGCTCCTCAACTTCCACTGTCTTGTCGCTGCTGTTCTTGCTTTATGATACTCTCTCTGTGGCCTCATAGAATGCGGACGAACATGGTGAGCCGAGGTTACACGAACACAGCTGCCTTCCCAGTGACAGCCTTCTACTTCGAGAATATTGCCAACAACTATATATCCACTCCTCGCTTCCGGTGACTTGGTAACTGGACGTTTATTTCAACTCCTCCACTTCCTCTTACTCTTTTCTGGCTTTTTGACACGCCCTCCGTTCCTCTGTTGGACGAGGAAAGGAACTTACTTTACGCGTCTCTGTATTAATCTACAAAATCATCTTTCTTCACGCAACTTGCCCAATTGCCCCAGCTGTCGGATAACGATTCTCCGACTCGGACCCTGTACTCATAGCAGTATGCGTGTTCTCATGCGCGATTTTATTCGTGATACTGCACTGTAGAGCTCTCAGAATGCCCAAACTCGAACATTTCAGCTGCGCCCGTTCGCGACCACTCTGGAACCTTCAGAGAGGAGTTACTGCATTGCATTTTCATTCTATCCGTGCTCCCTACTAACCCGTTTCCACGTTACAGGTGTCGCCCCTTTGTATACGTATAAAAGACCAATTCTATTCTCGACATCTCCCTGTGCTAGCCATGTGAGTTCCCCTCAAAAAGCGAGCTCATCGTCGCTTTATTTCTCACTCGCACTCGACTTCTCTCTTCTCCTAACTTTGTGCCTTCTGACCAGTTGGACCTCTAATCACCAGAGGAGGACCTCCTCTCCTTCACCCCTCTCTGACCGCAATCTTTGCCATGGAACATAACCTCCCTCAATATCGTCCCACGCTTCTCCAATCTACGTACTACGTGACAAGCCCTGGGCTTGTTCATGCTTTGGGCTGGCATTCCGATAAAGTAGGACCGTATCCTTGTCGACAGAACGACAATCAAAACGGTGTAGCGTCCGTTGTCGATTGCTACTCCCTTGCCTTCCATGGTTTGGCTGTTGTACCCCGCTTCCTCATCCAGGCATCCGCTTCTCAGGCAGATTAGACTGCACGAGTTCTGAGATGCGAATGGTGAAACCAAACTCTGGATTGAGAAGAGCCGCGCGCATGGTTGTCATGTTTGTTTTTGGGTTTCCATTGCCGAAGCAACAGTCAAATTCAGTTCCATCCCTGTTGGCGAAGCCGATTGGGACTTTTGCTGATGTTTCACCAAAGTCATTGATCAGCTTGAGAAAGATAACGCGAAATAGCTTTGATCCTGGGCCGACGGAATCTAATCCTTGCTGACAGTCGCGAGAAGAACTTGCGTTCACTCGAAACGGTTCGAAAAAAGGACCGTTTAAAAAGGTCGTGTACTTCCTTTGATACACTTCCTCCCATGCATAACTCATAACTTTTATCAGATAAATGGACCGAACACGCCGTCGACTATGACACAGGACAATGGCCCGTCAACTCGACAAATCTTAAATAGCTATCGCACTATTCCACAGGAAGTTTTCGCAAAGGACAAGCTGTCGATATTGAAGATATCACCGAGGTCGAGCGTTAGTCGAAGTTCACTTTGAACTTCGTTATTCTGCATCCAAAGAAAAAAAGAGGACTCGTTCAACGCCAATTCGAAACCTCATATAAACGGAAGGACGTTCGCGATGGTCCCCCGGGACTTACCCCGTAGAACTTGGATTAGAGAGGTGTGATTGATAGTGAGTGAGGTTATGTTCCATGGCAATGATTGCGGTCAGAGAGGGTGAGGGAGAGGAGACCTCGTTTACGCATTAAAGGGTCTTTTCGAGGGTATTACATGTAAACGTCGTTGATGTAGGATGTAAATGAAGTTTTGATGGTCTACTCACCGAGCCTAAGAGTGGTAGTGTCAGTTAGCGACTCAATTCTTGGGTGCAAGGAGCCAGAAGGTTCTGAACGTTGAGTTAACTGCAACGTGGATCGTGCTGCTCTGCCAACAATTATGGGCTGGCTTTCCAAAAGAGCGCACGCAAGGTGAAAACCATGATTGTTCCCTACTCGACTGTAGTGCGTCAAAAATTAAAAATTAACTGCATTGTCCGGGAATCGAACCCGGGGCGGATCGAAGGTGCGCCCTTCGGGTGGCAACGATCCAGGTTACCACTACCCCAACAATGCTGTGCCCTATCACGTCTGACGTACTATCTCATCTGATAGCGTATCCAAGACCCCATGCCGTATGAAGCCTGGCACTCATCTTGCATTGGGCTGGATCGTCAGGCAATTCATCATAAACAGTCTCACTTCCATATTGTCCCTATGCGGAATAAATGACGCAAAGTTTACTAGCCAGATCGCTGCTCCCCAGATCATGCATGTCCTTACGGGAATGTATATCAATCTTGCTATCTCTCCTCCAGTTTCTTTGCTCTTTTTTTTGCTCTACTCACGGAAGACTCTGCTGTCTCGATCGTTACATGGAACAATGTGACATTGTATGAATGCAAAAGAGGACGAGGTTGTCGCCACGTATCATATCTGATTCGCACTCTTGCGGTGCTAGCGGGGGAGATTCGATGCTTGGGGACTTCAGACTGCCGAAGACGCAGGTATCGTTGCTCCGAAAGTGCGGAGGCAAAGAGGTACTGTGCTGGGCAACGGGGGAACAGGGCAATGAATTTTGTGTTGTAATACAGTCTGGGGGCACCAGCCCACATCAGGAAACATCGGCAATTGAAAGATGCGGGTATATGATAGCACCGGATTGGGGGTTATGCGTACGGATGGCAAAAGAATACAACAAGAAAAATAATAATAAGTTAATCCATCAAGGACAATTCGGGAAAAGAAAATACGAAGTCGTCAGACATGATTTCCCCTACCAAGCCTTTTCAAGGCGTGTAAACCCGCAAGCTATTGACTCCCAGTAAGCCTCGGCAAATGCACTTGGGTTATTGTTAACAACTGAGGAAGGAGGATGAGTGAGTCTGATTATCGGAGCCTAAAAATCGCTGATCTTACAGTCTGAGCAGGTCCCTGTCCCGCAGCCAGCAGTAGAGAAGACATTTCCAGCCCAGTCGCCCTTGATGAAAATAAGTATGTCAACAATGGATAGAACAGAAGACGAGTTAAGAAACTGACGCAGAAAGTCAGGTCGAAGACCATATTGTGTGCGTCAAAGTGCTGGTCGTATCACAGTATTGGGGGTCGAAAGGGAAGTTCGCAGTCGGGGAGCCCCAAGTGTGATCCGGGAATACAGGCTCTCCCTCCTCCGCTCCGTTGAGGATCACATCTGGGACATTACCAGCTCGTGGAAAGAACCAAACCATGACCGCATCGCTTCCTCGGTACATGACGAAATACCCGCCGCCTGCCTGGTTGAACGAAGCGCCATAGGATGTGCTGGGTAACATGGTATCGGCGAAGGTGACGCCACACCCTTCGTTGCCGTTGACAGCGCGTCGCAATCGGTGGTCAAGTTTACTCTACACCGACTATTAGAACTCTGTCGTGTGTGAGAGAAGGTGAGAGAACCCACCCAGTCATCGGTTGGCGCAACGATTCGGCGGGCATCATGCAATTTGAGGAAGTATGCAGGGTCGCCTCGTTATGGGTGTTCAAATTGACACCTAAAGGGGATCATGAGCATTCATACGTCGATTTCTACAGGAGGGCGTGTCCTGACCCTCTACGATGTCTATTTCGCCGCCTTTCGGCCAAGGACCGGCTTGGCTCACCGTCCAAAAGGCGGGCCATGTGGTGCAGCCCGCAGGCATGTGCTGAAGGTCGAGCACGGTTATAGATTCGTTGTACGCCACCTGAGACGAGAGACGGATGCTGTCACGTCCGCGCGCGGAGGGAGAAACAATGGACACATCATCCGCACGCATGAAGAACACATCGTTCTCCACTTTAAAAAGTAAAGCAAGCAGGATTCGGCGAGAGTCTCAGATTGAAAAGGGGGACGACCGCACCATATGTCAGGTTTTTGCTCTGGGCGTCAGCCATGCTAACGTAGTTGACGCGGCCGTCCGTGTAGTCGTTCTCGGTCTCCCAGTTCCATCCCTCGTAGAAGTCCTTGCCAATCCACTCCTCCTGGAGATAAAAGCCCTGACACGCGTGTACGGTGAGGGGTAGAGAAAGAGCTGCGAGGAACGCATAGCCAGCACGCATAGTTAAGATAGAAAACGCTGAGTGGTGTAAAAGGAGTGTGGTATGTTAAAGAGCGACTGTGAAGCACACGGTGCCAAAAGTATAACGGACTGGCGAAACTGGGATGTGGAAGATTTATCTGGGGGTTCTGGAATCAGTCAAGCGATCAAACTCGCGATTAAAATACTGCGAACTGGACCCACATGTGTAGTTCTCATTTACAAGTTTCCGACGGTGATTGTATGGCAAGTCATTTTGACCCGATGAACTCAAGCAGAGGAGTTGAGTTGGCTCAGTTGACTGTAGTAAGGTGTGCACAAATCCTTTTCAGGGACTCGTTATATCACTTGACATGATATATCAACATTCTCCGAAGTAGAGTGGATGTAGATATTGCGGAGAGCTGATGAACACGACAGTAACAGGCACATGCCAGTGGTGGCAACTCTGATCAGAAAGTCATTTGACCCGGACCGGAGGATCTCCCTCTTCATTTACTCTTCATTTACTCTGCTCTGAATTGCTCACGAGCGGACCCCACTCCCTGTATACGTACTCGCCATGAAGAGATATGGATGTTTGTTTTCACCTCACTTCTCAGATCCGCCAGATGCTGCACCTTTGTGCCAACAGACTACGTCTCAAACTGGCGCCACTCTCAGATCGGATTCTGCCCAACTCCTTGATGATGACGACGCTCTTACAATCTTCACACAATGTCTCCTCGTTTTTATATTAATAGAATGTACAGTATCACGGCTTTCCCAAAGAGGAACGCTCGATATGAGTGGCCCGCTGTCTCTCACAAAGATTGGTTGAGTCCATATTTCCACCCCGAAATCTTTGGCAATGATTGATTCGAACTATGCGGTCACCACATTCCCCCTCCCGTGCCCTTCGATTGAATCAGCCGATCTCGTCGTCCCGCGCAAGAGGGAAAACTCTCTCAGTACTTCTGACATAACGCACGGGTTCAAGCGACTACTTTTAATTGCTTTGATGGATCTCAGCTCAGATGACGTCAAGACACTAGTCAATTAGTACGTTCCCAGCACGACAGGCAGCTTAAACGCATCTTCCTGGCCACCAGGGTTAGTATTAAGTTAGATTGCGTACAGACCGGATGCACCATAAGCGACTCTTACGACGACGACGGGACAATCATGCATCATCCCTGATCGTGGTATGGGCTACTGGCCATACCAGGGCCGTCATGACAACGACACGCGGCCGTGGCAGGCCAGCTGCTGTAGCTGAAAGACTACGTCTCTAGCGCGTTGGACCTGCTCACCGTCGACTTCAACACAGGTTCTGTAGACCTCTGGGTGCCCTCAGCCTGCGGGGCCTTCTCGCCCGCTCACCGTTCGACGTATCGGCGTCGAGTTTCGCGATCACCTACGCAAGCCCCTTCGCTTCAGATCTCACGGTCTGGTGCCATGATGATGCGCGACGCCCAGGGCACAGGTAACGTCTTGGGAAGTCTCGTCACGGTCGTCGTATCACCGTCGCGCGCTATGATTTCATCTCAAATTTCTTACAGTATCAGATTGTCCCAACTTGAGCTAGTCAAACGAGGCTGAAAAAACTCCTGCTGTCTCGCATTATTTTCTGGCATTCAGACAATAAGAGGCTAGGCACCGAAATAAAAGGCATCTGATTGAATGCCATATCCATAAAGTCCTATCTCGCTAACCTCGTCACTAAAATGTCCTTCTCTGTAATAACTTATCACCTCGGTGTGCGGTCTCGCAGCTCCAGGGGGGTAGTATGCGATCGTGTCCGACAGGATTGCACTGGGCTGGATGCACTGGGCGGATCGTCATCGATTCATCAGGCAATCCGTCACAAATCACTCTCACTTTCCGACATTTCCCCCTCCGTCGAGATCAATGGCACCAACCAAAGCTCGTAATCCCCGCAAAGTTCGTGATCCCCCAAAGTCGCGCAAATCCTCGCATTATGTCACCCGAAAGTGATATATCGATTGCGCTTATCTTATCTCTCCTCGGGTTTACTGTTCTACTCACCAACGATTCGAATTCTCTTACATAAATGCTGTTACCATTGTACAAAGTCAGAAGAGGTCGGGTTTACCGCCACGTGGTACCTCCGATTGACACTAATGCGGTGTCAATGAGGGACATTCGAGGTCTGGGGAGTTTAGACTGTCAAAGGAAATTAGACCGTTCATGCATAAAGGCCTAAAGTGCGCAGTGAGAGCGGGGGCTGTGCTGGAATGGGACTAAGAAATGTTGATTTGTACTTAGTAGAGCCAGAGGGCTCCACCAGCCTCGCCGTCCAGCACACGTTGTCAATTGAACCATTTGTTGTGAGTATTGCTGATGCCTGATATACTTTAAGAAAACAAGACGGCACCAGGTTATGTCTACGATGGCAAAAAAGAATGTGGAACAAGATCAAACGACGGGGTCTTACATCAAAGATAAATCCGCGAAAAGACAGAAACAAACTCGTCGCACACTGACTGATCCCCTACCACGACGGCAGAGGCGTGTAAACCCGCAAGCTATTGATTTCCCAGTAAGCCTCCGCAAATGCACTTGGGTTATTGTTGACAACTGAGGGAAGAATATCAGTGAGCTTGCACATCGGGGTCTCGAAATTGAGGGTCTTACAGTCTGGGCAGGTCCCCGACCCGCAGCCGGAAGTAGACCACACATTGCCAGCCCAGTCGCCCTTGGTGAACGTAAAAAAAAGCGCGTCAGCCGTGGATAGAACACAAGACGAAAAGAAAGGAACACCAACGCAAAAAGTCAGGTCGAACACCATTTCATGTGCGTTGAAGTGCGTGTCATAGTCACAATATTGGGGGTAGAAAGGAAAGTTCGCAGCGGGGGAGCCCCAAGTGAAATCTGGGTATATGGGCTGTCCAAACTGCGCGCCGTTGCAGATGACCTCCGGGACATAACCGTCACGCGGGAAGAACCAGATCTTGACCGAGTCGGTCGCTCGGTACATGACGAAATACCCACCACCTGCCTGGTTGAATGGGGCGCCGTAGGACG